TAGCCCTAGCACCATGTCCTGTTTGTTTGGGAAAAAGTACTAAGGTATAATACTTGTTTTTATATACTTTCCTTTTCTCTTTTCCTTTCCTCTTTAGTTTGTATTTTTGTATTCTTACAACCTAAAGATATCTCCTCTCCAGTCCTCCTCCTTACTCTCTGATATCACTATCTCCTATTACCTTGCCTCCTATCCTGTTATTGGATCCTGGTCCTCGCCTGCCCTCCTACGTTCTGCCTGTACGTCTCGTCCCAGTTCTAGTCTACGTTCCTCTTCCGATAGCGCACTCGCTCCTCGTCCCAACCATTAACACCCCTTGGCTACCCCAAGCTCCGCCCTCCCCGTTACACCTCCAACACTTCATACCATAGCTCAGACAATTCAGGAATCGAGAGGGGAGAGATTTATAAAAAAATCTAAAAAAAACAAAACAATTGCAATGTGAATGAATGGCTTTCATTCCGAGCTCTGCTTCTTTCTCGCTTGATCATTTCTCTCTTCTCGCTCTTTCTCTCCGAGAGAGAGCCTTCCCCCTTCATTCTCCCCCGAATCGTGAAATATTCCTAACAACCTTCCCGGCATCCCCTCATCATCCGCGAAATAACCTACAATTACTTCTCACTGCCTGCTCGAAAATCCTTGCAGACCGGATTCTTGTCTCTCTACTCGGGGCATAGCCTGTATACAGTAAGAGATTTTTGCACTGCTCGGGTGGGGGGGTTGGCAAGGGTTCCCGAAGTATGACCCGGCGGGAGCAAAGTTATCAAATGGTCTCGCTATATCATACGGGTTGTCACTCACACCAAGAGGCCAAGAAACCCGGATAAATGTCGAATTCCTTTCTTTCTTTCTTTCTTTCTTTCTTAATAAACTCGTCCCTTTCAAGAGGTCGTCTATTGGCCAACTCCTGCGTACCGTGTCTGGAAATCGCCCTTGTTAGTATCGCGTCCAAGGGGAGGGGGCTACGGCATCCTACTTTGGTTAAATGCTTACTGTGTAATAAAGTAACAGTCGAAATAGGATAATTAAAGGGTCCTTACAGTACTGCAGACTACTGTACCCCTCAACCAGGTAGTGTCAGAGAAATAGGTCGTCAATCCTTGTGGTAAATTTGTGTCGACGCAATCTACGGTAGATCTCCGTGTGCATGCCAGTGCCCTTTAATATTGCACTGTACTGCACTGCACTGTACCTGCAGGGCGATAAATAGCCAAAAAGCGGCTCTAACGAACGAGCGAATAGGAAATCCATCACCGCTCTAAATTGCCTCGGGAATTTTGGGAACTGATTGGTTCATACCTTGGGACGTTTTAATAGGTCCTCCTGTCCCTTTGTCGCGTCGGGGTTACCGGTGCCGATATCTGGGTGACCCTGGCCGGGAGTATTCCAGTGCCGGGGGTAGATGGGTGGGAAATAAGATAAAAATTTAACGAAATCGGAAAAAGTGGTGGGAGTAAGTTTGATCCTCCACTCCCTTGTTGTCTTATTCCCTGGATAGAGTAAAGAATTGCACTACGCCGGTGGTGTAGTGTGACACGTATAGCGCGAGGCCGAGGAATGTTGTGGCTTGGGGGGGGGGGGGTAATGAGTATAGGCATTGCTCCCGGACGTCCGGTCCGTTCAAGGCGCAGTGTGGACGACGAGAGATGGGATATATATCTCCTCTAGACTGGCGGTGTGGACTGCCGCGGACTGCGGACGGCTAGAATCCTGGAATGCATCTAGTTCAATACGCACTAGCACTGCAGCAAGTTGGGTTTAAAAAAAACTGTACATTGGATTGCTTGAATACAGCGAAGACTTCGTGATTGCGGTAACAGACCGAGCAAAACATATTATACAAATAAAACTATAGACAAACTCCAATCTATACCTCCCTCCTTCTTGTAAGGCTTTGGAAATAAGAATAAAAATAGCAACAACGATAAAGTGACGGTGGGGGAAACGGGGGAATAAGATTGAATAAAGCTAGAGCTATCTAAACAGTAGCATTGATGGGAGGTCACCTAAGTGAACCGACCGAGTGACCAGTGATGACCGCAATACGAAACGTGCTTGGACGTTCCGTAGGGATGAGGAGATACTTGTGATCCCTCGGAAGGCCTATGCTACCCCCCCCCCCCCCGGGTATCCATTCTCAGTAGCCTAGGATATTGGCCCCTATCCGGGACAAGAGGGTCTACACCTACCCCGGCGAGTGGAGTCTTGATCACTCTTTCCTGTCCACCCTCGACAGCGAAAGAAATCGAAGTTCTGCCCTTGGTATCTACAGTGTTGGGACTAACATCAGCTCTGACAAGGAATCTCTTCACTTCTCCTTCGTGTCCCTACGCAGCAGCTCAAGAAAGCTCTGTTATGTGACCCATTTCGGGAGAGTCGGGCTGGCATCGCCTCGGTCTAGAACGATATCCACCATTATTTCGTAGCCCTTCATATCGAAGGTGTGTAGCCTTGGAGCCTCCCCAATGCGCCCCACGATCGCCCGTCCCAAGCAGCGCCGACGCAAGTTCATGGATGCCAAATAATGTAGCATTGTATGGCCCACTCGTCCTATCAGAAAAGGAATATATATAAAAAAGCTTTGAAGCCACACTTTCTGGGTGTCCCAGTACTGTAGGTTTGGAATACCAACCGCGAGCTGTTTCACGGAAGCCCTTGCCCCTCCCGGACATGTGGTCCCTGATAACAGGAAACGATTCGGAGGAGCGGCCTGAGCTACCGGGGCAAACTCGTAAACTATCGAAAGCCTCGTTGCGGGCTTTAGAAGTTGTCACAGATATTCCCGCGAAGTTGCGCACATGATACAGTATTTGTCGGACCCTTGATGTCCCCGTCCGATAATGGCAAGCCCAATACAGCATCCAAGAGCCCTTCCTGACTGATAGAGCATTTACGGGGTTCTACTGTAGATCTGTGGCATGGCCAACTTTGACCACCGGAGCAAGGCATAATCCACTTGTATCCTCTCAAGGGCGGTTCCGTACCGGGGATATGTTATAAGCATCACTCGGACCATTTCCCATCCGGGGGAGCTTTTCTCGTCTCGTGCCGGTGGTTGTTCCCCTGATAATCGTATGGGGATGCAACGCAACCCCCACAATTGTCGTCGTGATTTCAGCTATCAACATACTGTTGTTATGGTGGTTGCTATCAAAATGCGCAGTGGTAATAGAACGGAACAGTAAAGAGAATATTTGTGGTGGGATCAATGGGAAAAGTGTTTTTCGTCTCTCTCTCCTTCGCCCATAGGTAATGACAGGTGTATAAGGAAAACATCACCAAAGCAGCCTAACCTCTCCATAAACCACTACACCCATCTATCACATTCCCTCCATGTCCAAACTCCCCTGTTCACATCCGTAATAACAAAGGAAAGACATATCCGTGAAATACGCTTCTAACCTTCAAACAAATCTATCCTACTGCTAAATCCCAAAAACACCCCTGCCACTCCCGCAAACAACCTTATCCTTCCACTTTCCATTCCTTCCATGACCAACCACGACACGCTATCACTCATCACTTCAACACATACCCCCCCCTCCCTCATCACACCAGATTCCGGGTCATTCATATTCTAGTATGGTATCATAGCTATACATCTCCCGATATCGCAGCCGGTACGGTAATGTGTGATGGCGGGCATGATCAATCACGGTCTATCACCAAGCAGAGATGTGCCCAACACCCCCTCCTCTACCCCTGTACTGCACCTGCCGGCCACGGAATTTACGACAATCTCGTCAGATAGTAGGCGGACGGCCCATCACATCCATCACGCCGCTACCTCAATATACCGTAAACTCCCCAGCGAGGCACGATATCATAAATGCAACCCTTCAAAAATCGCATCCGGAATCGGGACACAAACCATCTTTCTACTCCTCCGTAGCATTCAAGAAACCCTCCTATAAGTTGATGCTGTACGTGCGGTACTGTACGGTACCAGTGCACACCGCCGAACTCTATAAATAAATACAAGAATCCAAATCACAATAGAGTCCCTCCCTTCCCTAGATCGTTGACTAAGCGCCAGCAATGACTTGATCCCTAAAAAAACTTACAGTAGTATAGACTATCCATACCCAAGGCCGTTGTACCGCAACCTACAATATAAAAAAACCCACATCATAGTATTCCATCTCACAGGCACGCCTCATGCCTACGACAAAACCAGTATCATAATTATCATGCTGCGATAGTACTAGCGCACTCGCCTCAAATAAAGAAAGAAAGAAGGGAAAATGGCAAGGAGGGGGGGGGGGGGTAAAGGGAAGAAACACACAAACACATCTATACTCAAAATCCCTTTTCAAAAAAAGGAATCACATCATTTTCACAAAATCACACCACCACCACCATAACCCCCATTTCCCCCCTACACCCCCCCACTGCGAGGAACCAACCAATCATAAATAAATAATCCCCTCCCTGAACAACTATCAAACTACGCCATCATATCATATCATGCATGACGCGACCGCCGCCGAAAACCACGAGTGATCCATCATGACCCTCCGCAAACGAGGACTATCGATAATAGCAGGAAATGATGCCGGGATATGGACGACGGGAAGCTCACATCAATAACTTGAGGTCTGTTCAAAGGCTGCTGGGCGGTGGTGGTGGTGGTGGTGGTCTCGTGGTTATTTGTTTGTTCGTCTGACGTGATTGTGAATCGTGAATTGAGGTTAGACTATCGATCATACTGGCTGGCTGCATAGCGTGGCAGAGTGAAAGTACTAGTACACCACAGTAACTGCGGGGCTGTATGAGTACTAGGTACTCGAGTACACGGATGGGCAATTCACGCTAGTGTTAGGGGGGGGGGTAATTGCTGCTCCCATCCTTCAGTCGAGTGGAGACATCTTGCCACTCTGTTATTACGCAGGCATCCATGTTCTTCAATCGTGGTGGTGGTGCAAATGACATCCTCGATTCCCGGGCTATTCCTGGAGATTGATAACCCGGATACCCCCGAAACCTGGTAATAAGCCTGGGATATTAATGGAATGGAAGAGAAAAAATTAAAAAAAAAACCCCCCTGGGGTGCTGGGGTGCTTTGCGCTGCCTTAATCACCTGACTCGCTTCCCAAATCTCCAAGGCCTTTTGGGAGGTGATGGATTTCATTGCCAAAAGTCACTTTTCCGGTCGTGTTTGGCTACATTGATCCCGGGTGTCCGAGTTTTCAATTTCACCAGGAGTAAAGATTCAGCAGACCAAGGATGGTATTATACATAACACGACATCGTTATAGTACACTACATTTATCAAGCATGTCCCGCCGCCACACGGGCCCGACCATTCACCTTTCGCAAGCAGCCTCAAGGGAGCGGGAGAAGATAAATAAAAATAGAAAGACAGCACACAAATGAAAAGTGTCCGCGAAACGGACATTTTTACGACTAGCGCCGCCAATGTCCGGTGAAAAATGCAAAAGCAATCCGAAACGCCCCTCCCTCCGATCCGTTCCCCAAGCCTATACGGGAAGGAAAGAAAAGTGAAGAAAAGTAAAAGGGAAAACGTTGAAAGAGAGAAGTGGATAGAATACGACATGGAGCCTGCAGAAGTCGTGGCAGCAATTAACTTTACAGCCTCTTATATTCCATCCACTCCGTAACAGGAACATCAATTCTGAAGCCTCTACCCAGCCACCAATCCCTCGCCTCCTTGCCGCCATCGATAGCGTCTTCAAGCGCAGCCTCAATGTCGCATACGCAATATTCCACTCTGAGGCCGGAGCTACTCCACCATTGGAGGACATCGGGACGATTGAACTTTGTGGCATCGACAAGGACCTCTTTGTCGTAAACCAGCCTGAGGCCGCTCTTCCTCCACCATTCCAGGACTTCAACTTCACCCCGGTAAGAAGCTCCCTTGAGCGCGTGCAGGTAGTTTAGCGTGAGACCGCTGTTTTTCCACCATTCAAGCACGGCGAGGTGTCCAAAGGAGGAGGCAACGTCCATCACTTGACCGTAGCGGAGAGGAAGCCCTGAAGATTTCCACCATTGGAGAACATGAATGTGGCCTTCCCGTGATGCATCATTGAGGGGCTCCTCGTCGTATTCTCTCGGGAACGGGTTAGGGAGGTCAGGGGATGAGGCTCTGAGCCACCAGGTCAGAACCTTTGACTGGCCATAGTGGGATGCGAGAGTGGGGATTTTGAGGGACGGCTCGGAATAGACTCTTAGGAAGTCGTGACGGTAGTTTGCCCAGAAGAAGGTGAGGAGATCAGTGTATGCGAAGCGTAACATACATTTTGCCCCAAACTTTGTAAACCTCTCAGCCGGATAGACCTCTAACAAGCTTGTGATGTGTTCCACCGACCCGGAGAGAATTGCATAATCCAATCTTGTCCCATTCGCAGCCCAATCAGCACTACGCCGAAGCTTCGTATGAATTCCCAACGCGGTAGCCAGCTCCCAATCGCCCAATGACTCGAATATATCCGCCCACAGCTCGGGTGGCAATGGCGGAAGATTGACATCCTGCGGGAAGGGCGTATCGACGTACAAAGAGATGTTATCCAGCTCGTGGGCCTTCATATCAACGTCGTGGTCGCCATTACCGCCGTTCCCACCCGAATTGATTTGGTTTGGGCACTCGGAGAAGGAGGATGAGGCCGAGAGCGGGGGTGTGAAGCGAGGGGTATGGTGTCGTTTTAAGGAGAGGTCGGTGCGGTGGGATAGCTCGTGCACCGCCAGCCTGAATGCAAGCTCGACGGCTTCGCCGCAGGTTGGAAGGGAGCGCAGCGAGAGGAGGAGACAGAGTTCGCCCCGAGACATACGGCGATAAGCTGCTGCGATCGTTTCCTGTTCGGCCAGCCGCCGAGCCTTAGCGTCTGACCACATTCACGCTAAACAATGGGCGGATGGCAGGGGAAAACAGGGTGGGGATCAAGTTGATGGTGAAGGCGGATGGATGGACGGATGGCAATGAGGGGGGGAATTCACTTTTATGCAGGATGCGAGAGGAAATGAAGGAATTGGAGAGGGGGGAGGGGAAGGAGAGACACCCACCTGTAGCTCGTGTTTGCCCGTGAGGACAGGACCAAACCCTTCATCCTCATCTCCAAACTTTCTAGTGCCCACATGGCATTGTTCCCCGTTGTTGTCCATAGAAAGCATTATATTTACCCCCATCTGACCAAGCAGAAACCCAAAGCTGGGGTAAGAAGGGGGAATAATCTATTGTTGTTGTTGAATTGAATTGAAAAATCCGTTGGGCGAGGAGGAACCAAAATTGTAAGAGAGGCAAAAGGAGAAGAAGAAGAAGAAGAAGAAGAAGAAGAAGAAATAGAAGGGTGTAGGACGAGTAAGCCAGGCAAATACAGATAGGAAAGGTGGTGGTGCCAACTTTATCAGACGAATGTCAGACAAAGAAGCCTCGGATTACCGTCACATTAGGTAAGAACCCCACCAGTTTTTCCCTTCCTTCCTTCCTTCCTTCCCCTACCCTATTGGTGTCGTATCATATGATGTGATACAAGTAAAAGCGGAAGCTATGAGCCCATAACATGCGATTTCGCACAGCGCTCAGCTCACCGGCCCCCTATGATCTCACCCCACCGCAGGGCCATACCAGCAGGGAGGCTGCTGGTTAACAAGCGAGCAGAGCCTTTGGAACTCTCTCCTGCAATTGCAGAGCCTCCAAACGCCTGCACGGTAGGGCACACGATCCGCACCGATTGGCTTATGGCTGGGTGGACTGTGTAGTCGGACAGCGTGGTCAATTCACGAGTAAATTACCAAGCATTGCATATGAGTTTGATGGTCGAATGACAGATTCCAAGCAGATTGACTAGGTGAGCCGGTTCTAACCGAAAGTGCCACTCCCGCGAGTGTCTTTTTCGATGAGACAGTACCCGTATTACCGTATCATAGTTCTGGGGTGTCTTGCTCAACCCACCCGTATGATACCACCGAAATGTTTGTCGGGTTTTGACCGATTGGCTGGAAGGTGTATGCTGCAGATGCAAACAAGGCTGCACGCTTGCAGCGAGCAGGCATGGCAGAATTACAGTAAGTTAATCACTGGTACGGTACAAGTACATGTACCATAAGTTACCCAACATAAGCGGATCCAGAGGACTAAGTTACCCTACCGCCCAAGTGAGCAAGTGGTCCTATGGCACAGCACTATACTCGAGTACTATACAGTACAGTACCATACACTACTCGAATGCATGAGAAACGTGTTTGAATATTGCGCCCGAGCAGTTTCCTCTCCTAGAAGGATAATGTGTATTATACATTACCGGTACTCTCCTTTCCCCCCCCCTTCTTTTCCATTTCCCATACCCCAATAGCCAGTTGGCTCTGCCCCAACCTCCTCCCCTATCACAGTAGGAGAATCCCAATGCCCTAACGCATCGCTCTCGCATTCGAGCGCTCACGGCACTCGAGTATACACTGCATCAAGAGTGGGTTCGTGCTCTCTATTCAAGATGGCAATGTGACATGTATGGACGGGCTTCGGGGTCGGTTGGAGAGTCCTACTTTTGTGGTTGGCGCTTCCTTCCACTTCTCGAAGGACCCGATCTGTGGGCGAATTGGTGGCGGGCGGAAACTACGGTAGATTTATGATACAGTACAGCGCAGGTACTCGGGTACCGCTATACCGTACAGCACATAGAGTGAGACCCTCCTAATGGATTGCACTTGGGTCACCTCTACCCCCATTCGCCTACCGCGTGTGAGCGTGAGCCTTTGCCCCACGACCACCTGCCTACTGTGTCCATTTCTGGAGCATCGCCAACAGTCTTCTATCAACAGGCAGCATAGGCGGGGTGGCTTGCTGTAAAGACACGTCTACCCTTCCATGCATCATACCGGCTTTCTTATTGTCGCGCAGAAATCTATCATATGGAAATCCCCAGCTACATTTCACAAACAAATCCTATCCAATCCATCCGCAATATCCTACCCCCAGATTTCCGCTCATAGTTTATCACTCGATAAGATCCGTCCTTACCCCCCTGCTTGGCATCAAAAGGAGCGATAGCAAAAACAAAAAAGGTCTGAATACAAACTCTGTCCCGAGTCATAACTACAACTTCACGGATACATTGGCAACACACCACGACTATCTACCCTTAGAAACAGCACTGAGAAGGACCACAAGGGATAGATCTCTGACCGGTCGCACTTGAGCTGGCTCAAGCACTGCCCCAGCATCGCTACAACCCAGGCTTGGGATCGGGCCAGCTCACACACCGCCAATGTGTTTATGCACAAGATGCAGAGGCCCAAAGAAAAACTTAACACTCACTATCTTGGAAACCCCAATCTGTCGTCCCGTCCTGCGATTGTGGATCCCTCCGGTACAGCCCAGAGAAAGAACGGGCCATTATTCCCCCTGAAATTCTCCGGACTGTTGAGCGTTCCCGGACGCCTCCAATGCCCGAGGATCATGTTATTTCCCGGCAGCATTGCACCCTCGTATGTCCATTCGTGGCTGTCGTAAGATTTCCGGAATTCAATGTGCTTCCAGGCGCCACTATACCTAAGCGTGGGGTCGGGCTTAGTCGAGGATATTTTCCCGTGGGTTATTGTGAAATTTTGGATGTCACAGCCGGAGCCTTGGAATTCATTGTGGCTGGTCATGGAGAGGGTCACATCCACTAGTGGACCGTCCGAGAGGTCTCGGAGTTGGGGACGGATAGTCCGTTGCGCGTAGGCTGGGGTTTCGGTAAGCGCCAATTATCACACTTTGAATGGAAGATACAAACCATAAGCTCCATACCATTTCAATGGTATCTTGTGACAGGGTCCCACATAGTCGCTAAGTTTGCCTTCCCACCAAGAGGGGTATTCATTGGGTTGCATCAATCGCCTCTGATAAAGCATATCCGACTCCGAATCCTTGTGTATGTGATAGATGAAGTATTTGGCAAGCGCGGCGATGACTTGGAATTGAGGATATCCATCGAAGCTCACTGCGGGGGTGCTGTACACCATGGTGTGCAGGTCATAAAGATCTTTCTCCTCCGGGAGCCGAAGCAATGGTGTCGTCAAGACGTTGACAGCAGCAGCCAACGCATAATTGTTACCCCGCCCCTCGAGTAACCCCAATGTGCGGTTTTGATGCTTGAAGCTATCCAGGATCTTGAAATTCTTCCCAGTGATCTCTTTTGTCGCGGACTTGTATCCCCGGGCATCTACCCAACCCACAACGAATATTAGCAATTTTGCCAAGATAAGGCTAGCAGAAGTCCAAACTTATGAATAAACTAACGGGTTGGGAAGGGACGTATAGCGTTCGGTTGAAGAGAGGGCAGTAGGTATTAATATGGCATAGGGGTAGATCAGGCTGGGGAACAAAAAAAAAATCGGGGCTGATTGTACTGTACCCACCATGCAACATATCCCAGATAACTTCCAAGGCCTCCTCCGATAAATTCCCGGCCCCGAGTTCCATGCTCGGTGCTCCACGTAGAATTATCTGCTGTCTCGATTGGTAGACACGTTTCCAGTCGTAGGGCTTGCCAGGAACCTTAGAAGAGGGTTCGTCGTAGATCCTGAGCAGCTTTGCCCGCCAAACAACCTGGTCATCCTGAGCGATGCTGTTAAATTTTCGGCAGACAAGACAGAAGGTGCAGAGGTCTGTGTCTGAGAGCTCGCCTGCGACAAGCTTTAGTATCTATCAAGCTTTAGCAAGATACGGTAAGCACGGTTTGCCGGGGGGGGGGGGCTGTGCCTACCTCCGGAGGAAAGAGCAACAAAGTCATGATTGACGACGAGAAAAAGCCCCTATCGAAACAGAATGACCAGAGAAAGTGATTTTTTGCGCCTCGAAGGATAAATATTGAAGAAATACAGTCGGCGGGGGATGACAGGCTTGGATGGGTTGGTGGTTTGGCGAGGGATAGGGGGAGGGAGGGGGGCTTCGGTGGGTGGAGTAGATAATGAATTGCCGATACAAGCGGTTTATCAGAGTGAAATCTGTGTCTCTCCTCACCGGCGGAGAGGAGATCTGCTCCTCGCCAGCTACGTGGTCACCGAGATACACGAATCGTGGCATGAGCCCAGTGCTCGGGCGAAGATAAGTTAGGGCTGTAACCGATGTCGGTTAGTATGGCACAGTGAGGTGCAGCCCTTGCTGATAGAGGTAAGTACCGTAATCCAGAGCAGGAGTGGGAATCGGCTTCCGCCTGAATTGCCTGAATCCCCGGAGAAAGTGAAAGAAGGGGCCCTTTCTATTAGAATGACAAATTAGACATAGCTGAAGCAAAGTTTTTGGATGGGGCAGGTGCGCTCCATGCGACGGGGAGAGTGGATAGCAAGAGGTAGGGGAGGTACCGCAGACAACGTATTGAAGACTGGATCTCAGAATTACTGTTTCGGATGGTACTGTTTATCCTCTCAATGGAACCGGATACATGGTATGGTACTACAGGTATCCCTACCCTCCCGGTGAGCTCCTCGGGAAGCTTTCTTGAGCTCCGCACGCATGCATGCATCCTCGAGTAGCAAAAGCTGAAAATGTACTGTAGGCAATCGTAAAACAGCCCTGGGTGAACCTGTGGGATTTTATCACCCTCCCGGAATGCCCCCCCCCCCCCCCGCCCGTGCGCACACACATGATGCATCAGCCTACAGTGCAAGCGATAGTGTGTATTCTGACTAATTGCTCTCTGAGGAGCTATCCACTGCTCTATCAGATGAAATCTCCCATGCTAGGCTTCGTTGTTTCTTCGGGGGTTTACGATATCATGATAGGAGGGCTCACAGGGAGGTCTCCGAGCCTTGACTGATAGTAGTTTAACCCCTCTTCACGTCCACAAATTTATTGTCCACATTTGTCGTCACTTTTAAGCTATTAGCTCTGCAGATCATCTCACTCCACGTGATGAGCCACTCCTCATGTCTCTCTATTCCCTGCACTTTTGATTCTAAACTCCGATTCTCCGAAGCCCTTAGGGTACTCGATAGTCACAATTCTCCCGCCCGAGCACATGCAGCCCGCATCGGGAGAGGGAATTTTTGACGTAAAAGATAGCCGTAGATAGTGGTTTTCCGCAGGATTTCGTTGGTGTTCGTTCATGTCGGACCGCGCCGGGGCTGCCACCTTCCTTGTGGAATTGGCTAATGAGGGAGTTTAGGGTTGCTGCTTGGGGAAGCGTGGATCGTGCATGATATACTTCAGGAGAGTCAAGGCCTTGGGGAGGCATTTCACCGGCTATAACCCGAAGTATTGTGGGCCGGGATGTTCGAATACGGTACACCTCCGAGAAAACTGGCGAGTGATAGAATGTGATAAGATGCTGCGGTGGTGAGTGTTTGAGGGGCCAGAAGCCTGTTGCGCTACTGGTAGTAGGTTAGAAGGTTCATACCGGTAATCAAAGCTTTTATATTATATATAAATATATAGTTCCGCCTTTTACGCGGTAGGGTAGCGGATGGAATTGAGCCTGATATTCTGGTATCATACCGGAAGTGGAGTCTGGATGAGAAAGCCCCTAGCCTATGATTGTGCGCACCCCACTTGTAGCAACTTATCATATAGGTGGACCCGCGGTTGCGGAGTTTAGGATCATTGCTGCTCAGGCAGCCAGAAGGGCACCTGGCATGGCTCAGATACAGACTAGGGTCGATGGTGAGGGTCAACTTTGAAGATTTGACGACATGGGGATTCGTATTATGGTATCATACTGTGGGGGGGTTGAGGGACAAAATTTCAGTCAACCATACAAACAAGTGATCGTGGATCCTAAGTTAACCGTGTGCTTGGGTCAAAGCTGCAGTGAAGGCTGTGAGCGTCCTCTAAGAAGGCCAGTCCAATGGCCACCCCCTCCAGCATTAGTCTACCACTCCCCAGGGCTGTTGCCCCTGGTCACTAGCCGCAGAACCGCGTCAACCGACAAACTTGGCATTTCTCGCTTGTGATGATCAGATAAGATAAAAACATAAGTCGCCAAACAGTTGCACACCGTTTGTGATTTTGAGAAGCCGAGGTCAGACGCGGCTGGCCAAATTGTGAAAAGCTTATTGTACGAGTACATTTCACCCTCCTTCCTTCTGACATTCCTCTCTCTCTCTCTCTCTCTCGCCCCCCTTCAACCACAAACACCAAACTCCTCTTTCTCATGGCATCTGAAACCCCTTCCTCAACTGCATTGTCAACTACAACCGCCCCATCGCTGGTGGCAGCACCATCGTCAAAAACATTGCCTCCCTCACCACCGGCACCGTCACCGCCAACAGCTTCGCCCTCTGGCTTCAACTACCCATTTGCTGCTGCGCCCGACATAAGTAATACCTCACTCGGCCCAGCAAATCCATTCCATAAACCTGGCAGAGTGCTGACGGGAAATTCCTAGTCCGATCCAACCAAAAAGATGCCTTCTACCAAGGCGTTCTCCTGGAACAGCTCTCAACAATTCTCCGCAAAGTATATGGTAATCGTTCATTTCTTTCCCCTGCCCTAATTCGTCCTCTGCCGATCGAATCCGAACAGCGCAACTGATCCTCACCAACAAATAGGAGCCCGCATCCTGCACAAGTACAGTCTCGAAACAAAAACGTTTACCGACCTACTCTACTACTCCCTCACAACGCTCCGTAATGCCCGTACCCTCGGCGAAGAGTACTGCGACATCTTGCACGTCGAGTCCTCAACCTCAAAATTACCCGCTCTACGATGCCGTCTAGGGTTTATCCTAACCACCATTCTGGTCCCCTACTTTATAACCAAGTCCCTGCCACGCTTCCGCTCGCGGTTACGCCAGAAGCTTCAATCTTCACTCTCTGCCCAACAGCTGGATCTAAAACCATCCACCTACGCCGTTCGTGTGAAAACTTACCTCCTAGAAAACCTTGATGCCCTGACCTCCAGTGAGAATCTCCTTGCCGTGCACTTGGGCCTCTTCTACTTCACGGGCGCCTACTACCATTTATCAAAGCGTATCTGGGGCCTCCGTTATATCTTCACGAAGCGGCTCCTTCCGCACGAGCAGCGGGTCGGATACGAGGTACTCGGACTCCTTCTATTGGCGCAATTAGTCACGCAGGGCTACTTTCACGTCTCCTCCACATTTTCACGCTCCTCTGCTGCCACCCCAGAGGAGGGAAGCGTGAACCCACCCACAAATGGGCCCGCCGGGGGAATCGCGACGAACCCTGATACCCATGCTTCTGACACAGGTCGCGATGGGCCGAAGTATGACCTCGAGGACGAGAAGGTTATGAGATTTATGAGTGGGGATTCGGGCAGGAAATGCACGCTTTGTCTGGAGAGTATGAAGGATCCTACAGCAACGGGCTGCGGGCATGTGTTTTGTTGGGGCTGCATTAGTGAGTGGTGTCGTAGCAAGGTATTTATACTAATCCCCTGATGAGGGCTGGTGGGGTTGTGCTGATAACTTGAACAGCCCGAGTGTCCCTTGTGCAGACAGTCCGCACTCGTGCAGCATTTACTCCCGCTGAGGTGCTGATTTCCTCATGCGCGGATTCCTTTCCCCCCTCTTTTCCATCAGGTAATTTATACGGTAGTGGGTTTAATTGGCGGGAGCCCCGTTCTCTTGTTTTTATATAAAAAAAAGACAGGAAAAGTTTTGGATATATCCCTCTTGAGTTTTATCTGTTTTCTGATAGTTTTTATATATATCATACATTTCTTTCCTTTTTTTTTTTAGGAGGGGGTGGCGCTGTTGCGGCCCTCTCGTTACCATGATCACCGCCATCTTCCAATTCGGGTTTGGGGCCTTCTTTTTTTCTGTTTGCGTTGTTACCCTCACATGAAGATTATGGAATGCATACTGGATATCAGACGCAGCCGGTAATTTACATGGTAACTAGCTACGATGAAGATATAAAAACCAACCCATGGACCGCCCACCCACCCCGTACGCTCCACCATCCCCCAAATGCCAACGAGATCCGGCAATTCCGTTAATGGCTGTTGAAAGCACAGAAACGCTTTTTCCGTCCGCCAGATATATATCACAAACCAACCCGAAAAAGGACCTCCTTCTGCTTCCCCTTCTTCTTCTTCCCACCCCCACTTCCATTCCCAGCATCCCCGCCATACCCCTCCACATCACTAACCTCTGCAGATGCAACTCCACTTCCAGACCCAGCACTCCTCCCCCAAGGATCACCCGTGGGCGCTAGGGCACCACGTTCCCGCCTCCTGATAGGTCCCCAACCAGGTGGTGGTGGGGGTTTGATTGGCAACGAGGGGAAGTCCTCTCTTCTAGTCACGGATATGTTGCTCGGGAGAGCGGAGGAGGAGGAACCGGAAGGAGCGACCCACGATGTTGGCGCGTGCGCACCGGGGCTAGAGCGGTTCCTCGGGAGGGGTGGGGCGTGGGAGGTGGGTTGAAATTGTAATGGAGGGGGAGGGGGAGGAGTTGCAGCCGCGGAGCCCCAGGCGCCTTGGCGAGCTGTGGTACTACGGGCTGAATGGGAGGTTGATGACTTTAGCTTCAAGACGCGGGAGGAGGAGGCTTGGGTCGGCGTGGAGGAAGAGGCGCCGGAGGGGGAGGCGCCGGAGAAGGGGGGGTAGTCTCCATTCTATTGACGTCAGCTTCAAGGAGGAGGGATGAAGGGGTAACAGGGGTTAATACAGCTGCCTTCCAGTTATTCCATGCATTTAGTAGGCCTTGCCTCCTTGCTTCGTCTTCGTAGAGGTCCGCTAGCTCTTTGATCAGCTTTCCTAGGTCCGGGGCTTTGACGTCAAAGAGAGACCAGAACTATTTTTGTCAGTGACTGATACGAGCGGGGATCGGGGATGGGTAGATACCAATTCGACGAGTTCTCCTGCAGAGATTTTGCCCTGGTGGTAGGAGCTCACAAGTCCCTTGAAGGAGTCCAGCTTAGACTGCTTGTGACGGAGCAGGATGGCCGCACGCTCTATTACAGCGGCATGGTGACTGAATGTATTTCATTAATTATGAATTCTAGGAGATAAAGGAAGGGGTTAGCTCACGCTCTCCGATTATGGTCAATTACCGGCCCGCGCATGCCGGGGGAGGGTTCCGCCTGCGTCCCAAGAACCGCCAATGGTGGGAAGGCGGTTTCCGGAGTGGAGGTGTCAGCTGGCCGAGGCGGTGGTCTAGGTGTGGGCACACTCGTTCCATCAACCTGGGTGGAAGCTCGAGTGATGCTCAGGGGTGGTTGCGTCGCAGCTCTTGCAGTTTCTTGCGCAGAAGGCCTAATCACGGGGGGTGGTTCGGTCAATTGGCCACCGAACATTCTCGGAGTGGTAGATTGGGCGCTCTGGACCGCAAGGGTCCTATGGTATGCTAATTCCGCTCGGTTCATTTGCTGCTCCGTCCGGATTGGCTCCTCGATTTCCATCCTACCGCGACCATGGCCGCCGCCCCGGCGGTTTTGGCTGTGGTATGACCTGTCTTCTAGTGTTCTCATATCTATTCTCCTTGCATCCCGTAGTGCGCCTTTTGAGAATAGGCTAGGGTGGACTTCGAGTTGGTGAGCCTTTAAGTCCATCTCGCTATCGAAGACGACGAACTTTTTATCTAGACACTCCTGCTCCCCGCACATAAAATGGTCTTCTGTGAAATGGGCTACTAACGAATCGTAATTGACGTAGTATTGCTGCTGGGTACCGAGATTTGTGCGATCGCAGAGAAAGCAGCGTTCGTGGCTCTCTCTGCAATGTATATAGAGTTCGTCTGAAGAGTAGAAACGCTGACGACAAAAGTCACATTCCGGATGGCCTTTGAAGCCGCTTTGGTTCTCACTGCCGGGCTGGTCGTCTCCTACATGTTCGTGCTTGTGGAGCTCTTGTGTGGTGAAAAGTGTATGTTCGTGCGTAAAGACTTTCTTGTTCTGGGAGCAAAGGCCACTGCGGTTTGTTAGTGCACGTATAAGACGAGTGGAGGGTTCGGGGTACCATAAAACACGTTTATGCGCTGCCCTAACGTGACGGTGGAGGTCTACCCATCCTCGACAGGCGTGATCACAGCTGGAATCGGGGCAATTATAGCGCAATAGCAATGTTGTCTCATCTAGGATAGTCTGATTCTCGAATTTAACTCCTAGAGCATCATTCCTATCGACGATTTCCTCATCATTGAATTCCTGGAACTTTTTGCTCTCTGTGTTGGAGAAGATGACCCATTCCGATTCAGTCTACAGAGACATTAGACTAAGACCAATCTAGCAGGATGCGAAAGTTGAACGCTTACTCTACAATGAGCGCACGCTTTGTTCTTGTACAAAGCCCTCATCCGAAGTGCACATATGTGGCAGGTAACATGGTTACAGGGTGCAATGGAAGAATACTTCACCGGGTCCGCACAGATGAAGCAAATAGAGGAATCAGGGTCTGAAGCAGCATCATCTGCATCTGGCCTAACCTCCCCTCTAGCCGTCATTGAGGTTCGGATAAGATCCGCTTGAGCTTGTCTGTCAACTGATTGACCTAAGTCTCGCTGAGGCTGACGTCCAATTCTTCCATTCCTTCCTCCCCTTCTAAACCTGCGAGATTCACCGTCCGGCGTGTTGCTGACCCTATCCTCATTGCTACGACCACCCCTACCCCCTCTGTTTCCTCTGCCTCGCCCCCTGCGGCCTCCTCGAGGAGAATCGGAGAAGGTTTGGTTTTGGACGGGTACAAGGGTGTCAGTTGCTGACGACATTTTTGATGATTGCTCTGAAGACAATGATGGAGATGAGGTGAAAGTGAAGCCAAAATTGATCGCGGTGGTATCTTTGTAGCCTGTGGTTGGGGCGGTTTGATACGGGAGAAGGTGATTGTGTGTTGTGGCGAGGGGGAGGGAGTTGCTGAAATGCAATACCGGTACCTGTACTGGTATGAGACCGTAGTCAGACGGTTGGGTTAGGGTACGCCGACTGGTACAAGTACTCGTACAAATGTGTCATTTGATGACGGTACGAGTACTGTACAGTAAGCGGGCAGTGCAAGATGGACCGTTCTAGTCACGATGACTCTGATGAGTATGTTCCACTCTACCGTACTGGTCCGGGATTGGCCTAAGTGCAGGATAAGCAACGCTAAGTATCACCGGTGGGTAAGTTAGTGGTGAATCACTCAGGCAGCTTTTACAATTGTCACGATTCCGAAACTCATGTCCGCCGGCTACTGAATACCACGATATCACGATTTGCTGGGGCTCACAGGTGATCGGAGGGTTTACATAGTCTATCCAGTGCAACGCCGGAGGATCCTCGCTGCTCCGTGGGTTCCGAGGTTCCAACAGTTTCGTCCACACACAGAACCAGGGAAGGTTGCAACGGTCGGCCTGATCCATCGGATTCAGTTGTGGCATTCAAGGTTCAAGTTGCTTAGTCAGCACTGAGCCACAAGTGGCCCCCACGTGATAACGGCGGGGGTCTCGTTTCCTTCCCTTGCTCCCTGGACCACTGGAACTCAACTCATCGTCACATCTTCGCACCCTTCATTTTCTCCCCCCTTATTTATTCCAAGCTCCCAGAACCCGAACGCAAGACTCCCGGAGAATGGCTCCTGGTGTTGACGATCCCAGAATATCTGCCCAAGAGGTTTACTCCCCGCATTTTGCTGGTCGGGCTGGGTTCGGAGCTAATTCTGTAGGCTTTTGCTATCAATGCAGCTGCTGTAACGAGGAATTACGGGGCAGGTTTAGCCATTCTGGGTATTTAATTGGAATTTTGGGCTGACCAATTGTTTAGGTAAACCCAAGGATCAATTACAACACTATTGCCGGTGTCAATGGACCGTTGGTTATTCTAGGTAATCTCACCCGTTCTCCTGCATCAAGGGTTTCCGTAATGTTATCGAAATAAAAGCCTCCGCTTTTGACGAGAGCCATGAAACAGTCCTGCGACATGCGCTTTGCCGTAGCTCGCTAATCTGGATTCTTGCCAAGATAATGTCAAATTTCCACGCTATAACGAGGTATGAACTTCGGTATCGCTGGATATTGGGATCCCGTTGGTGACACTGCTATAAACTAGATTGTTAACCTCACTCTCCCTGATGGGACTAAACGTGCCGGTCAAGTTCTGGAAGTTCGTGGAAGCAGAGCTGTCGTTCAGGTTTGGATTCCACAAAATATAAAACGCGATTGACGTAGCTTGCTAATAAACCACCTCCTCAACAAGGTTTTTGAAGGCACTCCGGGAATCGACGTTCGCAAGACGACTGTGGAGTTTAGCGGCCAAAACCTCAAAATTCCTGTGTCGGAGGATATGTTAGGCCGCATCTTTGATGGATCCGGTAGGGCTATTGATAAAGGACCTAAGGTTTTTGCGGAGGATTATTTGGACATCAACGGGTCCCCCATCAACCCCTACTCACGCGTGTACCCCGAAGAAATGATTTCCACCGGAATCAGTGCTATCGATACTATGAATTCTGTTGGCAAGTCAACCGTGTCGGGGGGGGGCTTGGGCGCATGGGAATGGTAGAGCTAACATCTGCTCTCAGCTCGTGGTCAAAAAATCCCCATCTTCTCAGCCGCTGGTCTTCCCCACAATGAAATTGCTGCCCAGATTTGCCGTCAAGCTGGTTTGGTTAAAGGGCCTAGCAAGGGTATTCATGACGACCACGAAGAGAATTTCTCAATCGTCTTCGCCGCTATGGGTGTTAATCTAGAGACCAGTCGGTTCTTCACCCGTGATTTCGAGGAGAACGGCTCATTGGAGAGGGTCACACTTTTCTTGAATTTGGCTAATGATCCAACGTATGATGCTGAGTGCACGGAAATAACTGGCGCAGTGCTGACGCTTCAATAGGATTGAGCGCATCATTACCCCCAGATTAGCTTTGACTACAGCGGAATACTTTGCCTACCAATTGGAGAAGCACGTCTTGGTGATTCTCACAGATCTTTCAGCTTATTGTGATGCTCTCCGCGAGGTCTCCGCAGCTCGTGAGGAAGTGCCAGGCCGTCGTGGGTATCCGGGTTACATGTATACGGATTTGTCTACTATCTACGAGCGCGCCGGACGTGTGGAAGGAAGAAATGGATCAATCACCCAAATTCCTATCCTTACTATGCCCAACGATGGTCAGAAACACCCCCCATCCCCTTATCCGGAATGATTGCTAATCGTCACTAGATATCACACACCCGATTCCTGATTTGACTGGATACATTACTGAAGGCCAGATCTTTGTCGACCGGCAACTCCACAATCGTGGTATATACCCTCCTATAAACGTTCTCCCCTCCCTATCGCGTCTCATGAAATCCGCGATTGGTGAGGGTATGACTCGTAGGGACCATGGTGACGTTTCCAACCAACTGTATGCCAAGTACGCTATCGGGCGTGATGCAGCAGCAATGAAGGCTGTCGTCGGAGAGGAAGCTCTTTCAGCCGAAGACAAGCTTTCCTTGGAATTTTTGGAGAAATTCGAAAGGAGTTTTATCGCACAAGGCGCTTACGAGTCCAGAACCATCTTTGAGAGTTTGGACCTTGCCTGGAGTTTACTGCGAATTTACCCCAAGGAGCTCCTTAACAGAATCCCTGCCAAGATTATCAACGAATACTACCAGCGAAGTGCAAGCGACAGGAAGGGCAAGGGAAAGGCGAGGGAGGGGAGCAAGGATACTAGGGATAATATTCGGGAGGGTGCTCCCAAGCAGCCGCCCCACACACAGGAAAACTTGATTGAGACTTGATGAATTTAATTGAAGTTGGGGCTGTAGTGCTTATGGCGCGCTTGTGATTTAGCCGCTTCTCATACCTTTTTCCGCTTTTCCTTCTTTTCCACCAAGATACTGCCTGGAATCCAAACTTGAAGTATATGTATGATCCGATGGTTTTGGAGAAAATCATGTGTGTCGGCCGGTGCACCGTCGCTGGAGGATTCATTTTGATTCAAGCGTAGACATGATAGTGCTAGGGGCTTGATTGTCTCCTTTTTTGAGGTTTAGTCGTACCCACTCTTCCCGGAGGGGAATGAAGGGGTTTGGGGCTCGCGAAGTAAATATCGATTCAAAATCACAGTGAGGTTGGGGAGAGAGCATTGCCTAGGCTTCCATGATCCGGTTGGGGCAGTGGGGAAGGGAAAAAAAATCCCGGCCAAGCGATGTATGAGAAAGAAACTAGCGGCAATAAAGCCGGAAAACCAAAGTCTCAATCAAAATCATAGCTCTGCCCGACCTATGTCTTATTATATCCTTTGGTGGTATCATCCCGTGCGAAATGCCCCCCCCTTCCCTCTCCCCCGAGCAATCATTGGTTAATTCCTCGAGTGACGCCTAGTGAATGCGGGGACGCCATAAGAGGAGAAAGGGACAATGGGAAAATCCTCCTGTCATTCCGGGGAACCTGATTGGCAGGGCCTGGCTCTGATGCTGTATTTGCTTGGAGTTAAGGCTTGCGGTTTTACAGAGAGTTTGGAGGAGGGGGCTGGGCTAACTCTGTGTTATGATAGGCCTTCTATCCTGATCGTAATTTACAAGCATTCATGACCTGCTCAACTGCAGATTGACACCCTTTTTACGGTCCGAACTACGAAATGATCCTGATCCTCTAGGGGTGTGATAGGAGTGTTTTCTTATCTGGCCCGGTTGGTACAAGTACCACTCTGCCCCCCAAGAACCGCACATGCTCTTTATTTAGCTATACAGCTATTTTGTAGCCTAGGTCTTTGGAGTTCTTCGGGTTGCGGGACTTGGAGAAGGCCCTGCCTTTGACAGTGTCTGACTTTTTACAAGTATCATACTTTTCTTCCTCCATGGGTGCCTTGGTGTTGATACAAGGGAGGTATGAAGAACTACATTCTTTTCTCTCATGTTCCATTCTCCATCTCCTTCGCCAAATTACGACACCTCAGGACCTTTCCCACCTCACTAGCGAGGCTTTGACTATCCCTGAACGTAATTTCTAACAAGGGTTCTGTACTCGAGTACGGTATTGTAGCTCGGAGCGCCCGGCTTAACCCGCAGAGCCTCCCTCTTAACCCTATCCTATCGTGAGCGATTGTCAAGTCAACCCAGATCCAACTCCCCGCCTCACACAATATCCCTCGGTTCACCCCCAACCAGATCATACCCACCACCCAAACCTCGCGAATAAGGGTCTGTGAGGAAAGGGATAAACGATAAGACACCGACAACATGGAGGACGTCTACTGCAAAGGGAGTGTCCAACAGGGCTCCGCGGACGCTGTGAAGGACGATAAGTCTTTGGTGTTTTTTGTGGCAGGTTTGTTCGATCTAACCCCAATCACACAGAGGAGGGTTCGTGATCTAATATTGTTAGGCGAGAACTGCTGGAGGAGCATGAAGTGGGAAAGTGAAAATCTACTGGACGGGGATGTATTTCCATTGCTCAAAGAAAGTAGCATCGTTTTCAAACTAAAGGCTGGATCAACGGAGGCTGGCTTCCTTTCCATGTTTTGCCCTGTGGAGCAAGCGCCGTATCTGGTTGTTCTAAAGTAAAATCCCACCCCCACCCCCCCTTCACCTGCTTGCTCAGGCAGGATTGGGCTGACGAGCGGAAAGGAACGGCTCCCTAGTAACAAAGCTCACCGCCGACACTCCGGAAACCACCTTCGTAGCATCCTTAAAATCCGCTCTCTCCCCTGCTACCCCCCCATCCCTATCCCCACCCTCGCCGCCCCCGCCCTCAACCCCATCCCAAAACAACTTGTCATCCCTCTTCGCCGACCGCCGGGACCGCCTAGAACAGCAGCAGAAAGCCCTCGCTGCCGCGGCCCGTGAGAGGAAAGCGGCGGAGCTCAAACGCCGACAAAACAACTTGACACCCGACCGCAAAAAGTACGTCGAGGAGCAGACGCGCCGCATAGCAGCTGAGAAGGCTGAAAGGGGTCGTGTCCTGCTGGCCCTCGAGAACGATCGTATTGAGCGGGAGGCGCGTGAGCTGAGGAAGCGGGAAGGGCGGGCCGCTGTTTTTGCCACGCAGGTACAAGATACCGATCGAGCAGAGGAGGAGAAGGTGGCGTTTAATGAGGTTTTGATTAGTGTTAGGTTGCTGCACGGTGGATTGATCAAGGCGAGGTTTTTGGAAAGCAAGGGGTTAGGGGAGCTTAGGGAGTGGGTTGATGAGGTATGTTTCTTTGCATCATCTGCCATAGTTGCGTGGCGGGCCGGGGTTGATCGTCCGTGACATGTAGAATCGGACGGATGGGGCGGAAGCGTACACCTTCATGCAACCGCCTGATCGGAAGTTCTCGGCTCTCGATGAGAACAAAAGCCTGAAGGAGTTGGGGCTACCAAAGCTCACAGGTTTGGTACTCCTTCGTCGCTGATGGTACTGCCGCTGTGCAGTAGAGGGTGGGAATCCCTAGGGAAGTGGGCTCGTTCAGGGCATATAAGCGACATTATTGTGATTTTATTTTATTTTATGCATGATATCATAATTATATACTTGGCGGCCAAAGTTTCGGTATCTATTTTATCATGAGATCTCACTCGCCTGGCTAGCATGGTAATGATGGACTGTACTGTACTATATGATATAGCAAGCACTGCACGATGCGCTATGCGACCTTTTAGGCCCCACAACTGCCGATTCCGCGCGAGTGTTCATACAGCTTTAGTCCGTTTCCAGAACTACGTGACTAAAGTTTGCGCTCAGCCCTCCATGGCTGCGACACTCACTGGTATAGTCAGGCCTGGCTTGTGCATCAAAAGCTCCGGGAGATAGGGTACACAGTGCGGCCCTGGGCGCTGACCTCAATGTGAGACGCGAGTGCTTTAGCATGATGAGCACGAACTGAGGTATGATAGAAGGCACGAAACCCACCAAACAGCCCGGCCTCCAAGCCCAACGTATATACCCAGCACCACAACACGAAACCATACCCATCGTACCCCTAGGATGAAATGCCAATATGGAACAAAAGGAAGTGAAAAGAGGTAGCACAAGACTTGTACCATAACGGCACAAGTCGCAGTCCTCGACGGAGCTCGGAAAGGTATATATGTATGACTTTGCCTCATACCGTACCCCAGCGGTTAAATAAAGTTTTTTTTTTTTTTGCACCCTGGCATAAATATATAAATAAAATAAAATAATCGAAACATTTGCGGAAAGAGGGAGGGATCACTTGGCTCTCATGACTATATAATTATAAAAATCTCCAACGATATATATTCCTTCTTTGGCAGATGCTGGACCATCAATAGGGTATCGTACATAATCGAGCCCGTGTACGGCGGGTCATGTAGACATCGAGTGCAAAAAAACTTAAGCGAGGCGTCGGTAGCAACCCAAGGCCGGGTAACTAACTGGAGTAGAACCACATAGGCATCACCCCAGCTCCTGACTGTGACAACATCACCTCCACAAACAACCCAACCCATACTGACAATAGAGAAACTAGCCAAAAGCAAAAACAAAGAGATTGTATTATGTGGTCCTTGTCTAGCTATAGTTTCTCTATCTTTTATTACTCCTACCCAGTGTTCTCTTTAAGCTTTCCCCTAAGTTACTTCTCCAGGCTGTGGTTGACTCTGGAGGTGTAATATATTGTATCATGTCTGAAGACATTAGGGTTAAGCCCTAAGATAACTTCACCAAGAATTTTTACCTATGATACCTAACCAAGAGTACCGGCATTTCACTACCCTACTGAAAGTTATTTTCACTACCTTGCTGAGAATTTTTCACTCCTTTGCCCAGAGTTTTTCTATGCATCGCTGAGATTTTTTTGATACATCACCGAGAGTTTTCACTGCTTTGTCAAGAGTTTTATGCTACAGCTTTTGGCTACACTAGCATTGCTGAGAGTTTTTCACTACTTTGCTCAGAGTTTATTTACTGCAATGACCTGCCAAGAGTTTTCACTACTTTGCCAAGAGTTTTCGCTACTTTGCCAAGAGTTTTTTGCTACTTTGCTGAGAGTTTTATGGTACAGCTTTTAGCTATATTGCTGAGAGTTTTTTACTACTTTACCGAGGGTTTTTTCACTACAGTGACCTGCCGAGAGTTTTTGCTACTTTGCCAAGAGTTTTATGGTACAGCTTTTAGCTATATTGCTGAGAGTTTTTCACTACTTTACTGAGAGTTTTTTCACTATGGTAACCTGCTGAGAGTTTTCGCTACTTTGCTGAGAGTTTTTTACTACTTGGCCAAGAGTTTTATGGTACAGCTTTTAGCTATATTGCTGTGAGTTTTTCACTACTTTACTAAGGGTTTTTTCCACTACAGTTGTAACCAGAGCTGGTGCTTGGCTAAGTTTAGTTTGTTTTATATTTTGTTTTAAGTATTGGTTGATACTTGGTTAGTTTTACAATTTGATTGAGTAAGAACATAAGTGAGAATTCATGATCATACTCAAACACATGTACTTAAAAAGACCACCATCTTCTACTCTGGAAATGGTAGACTTCAACAAATAGTATTTTAATATACTCAGTTGAATGGTTATCTTTATTTTCCTATTACACTGCCAAAACCTCCTTTAGTGATCCTAAAAATTAGTAATCTCTAGTAGATTATCATTTGCTTCTATTGTACCCGACGACATGACTAACGCCCTAGCATAAACATGTTACAATGGTGACCTATTGAGAGTTTTTGCTACTTTACCGAGAGTTTTTTACTACTTTGCTGAGAGTTTTATGGTATACTAGCTTTTAGCTATCATACTTGCATGACTGGTTTGCGCTTGGAGCTGAATACTCGTGCCAAGGTTGCAGCTAGGGCGCTGCAACCCCCAAAAATTCGCTGGCTCAGTTTTCGGGGGCACTCATCCTGAGTGCCCGACAGCTCAACGTCAATTTGCAGCTCAACGTCAATTTGTAGCTCAATACAATTTTGTGGCTCAACATCACTTTGTGGCTAAATACAATTTTGTGGC